AACTTGCCAGCAAGCAATAAGCAATATGCATTTTCTTTCGATAAAAGTGAACACAGATTTGGGGATCACAGCCCTTCACGATTAAAGCAAAGAACACATACACCAAATTATACTACAACTAAGTCATCTTCCACTAATGCCTCCAATAGGAATCTGGGTTCACCTAAGCCTCAGATGCTGTTTGACAATAAGACTGCACGAAAGATTCAAATGCCATATGCCAGTAAGACAACATACAAACCGCAGATGTCATCTAGCAATGAGTCTACTCGACGGTCTCATCAGTTAACCTATAACGGAACTAAACGGAAGTCGCAAAAGCCATTTGATATTAGGCAAGAACGTCAATATCAAGTATTTGATAGCAAGACAGCTCGCAGATTTCAAGCACAAAATGACAAAAGGACAACAAGATTTCAATCTACGGACAGTACACGTACTTACAAACAACCAAGTATATACAAATCAGCAACAACGCAAGCTATGAAACTACCGTCATATTTTTCACAAGCAAGAGACAGTTCAAATAACAGACCTGGTACATCAACACAGACAAGAGACGATCCAATAAACAGACACAGTACACTAAAACAAGCAAGAAACAGTGCAGATAACAAACAGTGGAAATCAACTCAGACAAGAGACGTAAACAAATACAGTACACAAAAACAAGGAAGAAACGGTTCAACAAGCAAACAGGGAACATCAACACAGACACGAGAAAGTCTAGTAAACAGACACAGCACGCCAAGACAAGAAAGAAACGGTTAATAGACCGCTATAGTACACTTAAATCTAAACAATCTTCAAGCAACCAAGCATGGTGGTCAACAGCAAGACCGAGCTCTTTTCCCTCATCTCCAGCTTCACAACAAATGTCCAGAACTACAGCCAAAACATCACGTAACCAGTATTCGAATAGGGTAGACACGTCTCAAAAACCCGTTAACAGGAATATGTATACGCCTGCTAAGTCCGCAGCTACGACAGAAGTAAGTAATCCATGGTGGTCAACCACTAAAATAGACCGTACATCCCCCAGACATCAGGGAACATCAACACACGGCAGCAGTAGGAAGCCCACACAAAGACACAACCCACCAAGACCCAACTACAACACCAGAACGCCCAGTTTTGAGGTTATTCCGGCGCCCAGTAACGAAAGATCGACTTCATACAGATCTCACATTGAACGGAACGAACAGAAGACTCGACCCATCAACGCCCCGGCGGCTATGGAACGGAGCTTTACTCTACATAGTGCACCAGGAGGCGACGAACGCAGTTTTTCACTTTACCGTGTAAATGCGCCGGCTTCTTTGGACAGATTTGCCTTACATAAGCCAAATACGAACCTGATAATTCAGAGTGAATATTCATTTCCTTTACATAAACCACAAGCGGGCCTTGGGAACAGAGAGATGGCGATCCAGACAGATAAAATAGTTCCTTCAGACAAATATGAAGAAGAGCAAACGGACAAGGCGATCAGTGCCTACAGATCTCCAGTTGAGAAATACGAGACAAAGAAAGGTAAGAAACATGTTTATTCCTCTAACTGTAAATGCCTAGCGTTAACGCTTGTCTTAAGCAATGTTGCTGTATTGTCATCGTTGGCATCTTTCTGGCTTTCCTGACGATAATGTTCCAGTCTTCTACTCATTCACCGGCTGTAAACTCCAGCAGAATGTTCTGGTTGCTCGTCCACTTCTGGACTTTAGTCTCGTTCCAAAATTTTAGTTTTGCGTGCATACCCGTTTCACAGATTTGGCTTTTTAAGGGAAACTGTTGGTTCTTTCCCTTACAAACAGATATATCCCGACTTCGAATGAAACACCTTTAATTAATAGACTGTTGCAAAAAGCTTGTTGGGGAAAGAAACAGTGGGGGGGGGGGGGGGGGAGGGAGGAGTCTGGGTCTATTCTTCCCACTCCTCCACCCCTTCCCCTTCGCAATGGGGCATGGAGCCCATTTAGGGATGTTCCATTGTGTTTTAGAGAGGTACTGGATTCACAACATTTGATAATAACAATTAGGACCAGGGATGAAGTGCACCCTCATTATAACAGAATGCCTGGGCAGTGGTGTAGCTCTTGTAGCACTGTTCCTTTCATTATAACAGAAAACCTGGGCAGTGGTGTAGAGACTATGTGTTGTCCTTTTAGCATTGCTTCCCTCATTATAACAGAAAGCCTGGGCAGTGGTGTAGAGACTATGTGTTGCCCTTGTAGCACTGTTCCCCTCATTATAACAGAAAACCTGGGCAGTGGTGTAGAGACCATGCGTTGCCCTTGTAGCACTGTTCCCCTCATTTTAACAGAAAACCTAGGCAATGGTGTAGAGACCACATGTTGCCTTTGTAGCACTACTTCCCTCTCGGCCTGCTTTATTAACTTTAACGGAAAGGTGACACAAGAACGTTAAGAACAAAGAATTCTGCAAAACCTGTCGGATTAGAAGATCATTGCTCTCTGAAAGTCCAAATTTCCTTCTTGATCAGTTGCTAACCAAGACTAAGGGCCTGGCTTGCCGTGCCATAACATTAGTTTTGTTTTCTCTTCAGATTGCATATCTTCGTTGTAGGATACGACTAATACCCCTCCCTCCCCCAGTCAACCTCCCTTAGCGATCTTCCGCCTGAGCTAGAGGAACAAGTGAAATGACAGATTTGGCCCAACATTTGATGTCAACGGAGAGGAACAAGATATGACTGAATGTGCTTTAAAATTGAATTTTAATTAGTTAATAACATCAAGTCTCAATGTCTTTAACTCTTAGCATTGCAGCTGATGCGTCGAATAGGCCAGCAACTAGATAATTTACACACAGCATAATTATATATATATATGTATATATATATATATATATATATATATATATATATATATATATATATATATATATATATATATATATATATATATATATATATATGTATATACACGCACACACTTCCACAAGGTTATCACACTTTCAGTTGCACTTAAGGATGCATTTGTTTTTGGGTTGTTTCAAAAAGTCAATCATTTCCATGTTGGATGCAATATTTCGTTAGTTTGAAGCCCTACTCTGGCTCTTGCCAGGAGCCAAAAAAAAAAAAAAAACCCGGCCATAAATATGGTCTAATGGCTAAACGCGGTTTCTGGGACCTCTCCACGAGTGATTCTCATTCACACGGTGGCACTTTGTGTCATCGGGTGTTTATCGCTTGTGTGATGTCATAGTGGGGTAAAATGTACTACTAGTTGTTGCTTCGAAGCTTTAATCTTCCACAAGTCTTGATTATAATGGAGTACAGACTGAATATATTTTTGGGTAGTCTTTAGTGATGTGTGTGTGTGTGTGTATATATATATATATATATATATATATACCAAGAGGAGACAGTCATCATTTTTCGGCCATGTTATGATGTTATGAGAAGAGGGAAAATAGAACATGTTGTAACCACTGGAAAGATATGTGGAAGGAGAGATAGAGGAAGACAACGAGAGAAGATGCTTGACAGTCTTGTTTCATGGCATGGAGGTGTGTCAGCGCACGAACTGATACATGCTGCAGGAGATCGCATATTATGGAGAGGCATGATCGCCTACGCCAGTCGGCATGGCACCTGATGATGATGATGATGATACATGTTTTACGACACCATACACTGACACCCCCCCCCCCCCCTCACCGATATAGACAGACAAATCTGTCATGGAAAGGAAGGACGAGAACTTGGTAACACCTGACAAGACAGAAAAACATAGCAAGGCAAGGCTGAGAGAGATATATGCTTAGATGGCTTGGCTACAGAGATAGCTTGGCTACATAGATGGATTGGCTACATAGATGACTTGGCTACATAGATGACTTGGCTACACAGATGGTTGGCTACATAGATGTTTGGCTACATAGATGGCTTGGCTACATAGATGGTTGGCTACATAGATGGCTTGGCTACATAGATTGCTGGCTACATAGATGGCTTGGCTACATAGATAGCTTGGTTACATAGATGTCTTGGCTACATAGATGGCTGGGCTACATAGATGGCTTGGCTAGAAAGATTGTTTGGCTGCATAGATGGTTTGGCTACATAGATGGCTTGGCTACATAGATGGTCTGGCTACATAGATGGTTTGGCTACACAGATGGTTTAGCTACATAGATGGGTTGGCTAAAAAGTTGGCTTGGTTAGATAGATGATTTAGCTACATAGATAGCTTGGCTACAAAGATGGTTTGGCTACACAGATAGTTCGGCTACATAGATGGTTTGGCTACATAGATGGTTTGGCTACACAGATAACTTAGCTACACAGATGGCTCAGCTACATAGATGGTTTGGCTACACAGATGCTTTGGTTTCACGGATGGTTTGGCTACAAAGATAGCTTGGCTACATAGATTGCTTGGCTACATAGATGGCTTTGCTACACAGATAGCGTGGCTACACAGATGGTTTGGCTACATAGATGGCTTGGCTACATCGATGGTTTGGCTATTTAGATGGTTTGGCTACAAAGATGGCTTGTCTACATAGATGGCTTGGCTACACAGATGGTTTGGCGAGACAAAAGTATTGAACCGACCCAAAATTCGGGTAATAGCATCCCTTTCTGATCCTGATTTCCGGTTACTTTGTAGCCGTCAGGATCCCTAGTTTAACCTTTCATTTGAACGAGGCTTACGGGGATTTGAATGGGTAGGATTCTCATTCTTGAGGTGGTAATTCTGCAGACTGCAGTCCTGGAGGGGACGAACTGCAGGCAAGCATAACTCTAGTGATCGTTAGGAATAGCGACACACAACGACCAACGCCAATCCCAGGGCACTAGATAATGAAGATGATGAAGTATAATCTAGACTGGTGTTTCGTGCTTGTAAATATCAACCACTGTTTGCTCAATCTCCACACAAGGTAAATGCAGTAGCACCTGGTGCAAGTTGCCTGACTGCAGGTGTATCGGGTCGGATATCCCGGGCGAGTTTGACGTCACAGAAATCCCGCAGATGGTCATGCTCACCTTTGACGACAGCATCAACGGTCAAAACATGCACTACTTCCGGGGAATTTTTAACGGAACTATAAAAAATCCTAACGGCTGCCCCATCAAATGTAAGTATTGCACCTTTTGTTACTATCATCTGTCTACTCAAAGCACTAAACAACGGGAAATACTTTAGCCTAGTGTTTCTCAAAATAAAAGCAGTTGACCTCCCGAAAGTTCTCTTAGGCTAACAATAAAGAGTTTTGGGGCGTCACAGAGGTCTGAGGTTTGAATAACGGATCAACATCATGGCACACGGGTAGTAACCCATAAGTGCTCCGTTCTTTTTCTAACTCAAGTCTGAGTCCGAAGAAGCTCAGCACAGTGCACAGATTCTGTAGCACCTGCAAAGATCCCGAAACACTTTGGGTAGATTTTTAACTTAAAAATTTTCACGTGTGGCGTCTTTAGACTATTCTTTTCGATTTTCAACTGCCAAGTGATTTTTTTGTAGGTGCGTAACAATGCACACGGGCATCCGATCTCACTACCCAGAGACCAGGAGGAATCCAAGTCCACGTGAAAAAATCCCAGCCCTTACCGGGGATTGAACCCGAAACCTCTAGCACTCTAGACCACGCAGCTCCTCTGGGGTGTCATAGAATGGATGCAAAGCTGGCTACGACGTAAAGGATAACTTTCACGCGTTGAAGAGGATTTGACATATAAGTAAAAGTCAAAGACCCTTATCCACGCCTTCAGACGTATTGGGCATATAGGGCTGGACCAATATTTTATAGACCAGTTGGCACTCGATGGGTAATGTGGTAAGCACCCCACCGGCCGCTTTACTTCCCACTCAAGGCTGGGTCGACCTGGGAGCCAAGGTCATTTTTGAAAAGAGTCCGGATCCGTCAGACTCGAACCCACTATCTTCCGCTCCGCAGGGTAACGTCTAGCCGCTACACCACCGCAACTCCATAGATACGTCCTGAAGCCAATCTTTAAATCAGATATGTAGCCGCGTATGTCAGCCGTTTGCCTATCACCACCAACACCGTAACATCCATCGTCGTAGTTTACAATTGCCACTGTGAGTTGGGAATGGAATTAATTAACATGACATAACAATGTTTGTTCATATCTGGCTGCAAATAACCTTGGCTCTGTTTGTATGATCTAGACATTTTCTCATTTTACAGTCATAGTCGGTAACCATCTGAAGGACAATTACCACATTCGGCGTGGGAATGTCCCGTCTGTCGCGACATCGATTGAGATCTTAAAACATTATTGACAGCTCAAGGCAGAGGTGACTCTTCGTCTCAACAAGGGGATATATATATATAACCGAATCGAGCATTATTCGTCATCCCTTTCTGGAATGCAATTTTTCGATATTTTTAACCCTACTCTGGCTCTTGTCAGAGGCCGCAATATAGCCCGACCATAAATATGGTCTAATGGCTGAACACGGTTTTCTGGGACCTCTCCTCGGGTGATCCTCATCCACATGGTGACACTTTGTGTCATCGGGTGTTTATCGTTTGTGTGATGTCCTAGTGAGGTAAAATATACTACTATTACTACTACAAACCGAATAAACATATGTACAGATCTCCCCATATCTGCTTTACCGTATTGCTCGCGGGCATTTACAAAATGTTAAAAGTTTCGTTGGAAATAAAAGCGTGGGGTGGGAAGTAGGGGCTGTCATTTGTAGTGCTTTGGAGAAAGGATATGCCAGGCCAATGAATTGCTGTTAAAATATAAGTTGTAGAGAAATAATAAACCAGTCAATCAATCAAGAACTGGTATCAGTGCACTGGCGATATTCCCATACGTGTTCGATCCTCTTCCCCAGCAGCCAAAGAAGAGTTCCCACACTGATGGTGAAAGTTTTAAAAACTAATGAAGAATGTTAAATGTTGAATTAAGAATCGACATCACAGCACTCGGGACACCCTCATAAGCGCTCCGTCCCTATCTTAGCAACAAGCGATGATCTAACTAATGAAGAATACCAGGCAAGATAATTTTGTGACGAGAAAATTAGGTTACGATTCTAGTAGCGAGAGAGAGAGAGAGAGAGAAACAGAGAGAGAGAGAAACAGAGAGAGAGAGATAGATAGATAGATAGAGAGAGAGAGAGAGGGTGGGAGAGGAAGAGAGAGGGAGGGGAGAGAGAGGGAGAGAAAGAGAGAGAAAAGGAAGAGGGTCGAGAAGGTGGAAGATGAAATTAAGAGGAAGCAGAAGAAGAAGGAGGAGGAGGGGGAAAAGGAGGACGACGACAACGCCAGAGAGGAGCTTCTGGAACGGTTAATCTCCCCGTATGGGTACCGGGACCCTATTATAAAGAAAACAAGAATAGACCCACTGCCTACCCAAAAGCATGTCGTAAGAGTCGACTAAGTGGGAGCTTTCTTGGAAGTCGGAGTGCATCAGCCAGAGAGGCAAGGAGCTAGCCGTCTGCATACAAATGAGTCACATCTGTAAAACGGATGCACACGCAACACTCAAGTTCTGGAACAGGACTGCAGTCAAAAAGTGGATGAACAACCAGACTTTTTCGCCAGAGTTTACCGCTGGTGAACGCGAAGAAGCCGAAGAAGAAGAACGGTTAACCCCAATTCCTTACACTCTGCCATTTTTCATTGCTAATCTTACTTCCGCTAATAGAGGTTCGGGCTCTTTCTCTTGGATTTCTTCGGCACAATCTGACAATGTTTTTCGAATCTTTGTACATTTCTCCACAATACTCCTTCCATCTTTCTAGTATTTCTTTGCTAGCCTTCAAGGCGTTACCATTTTTGTCGTTTATTGCATTCATTGAAGGTTTGAATTTTGTTGTTAGTGTTCTAATCTCTTTAACAATTTATCTATCCCTTCCTTGTTGCTGGAGATGCTCTATTTTTTTCCCCGCATGTCTTGATTACAAATTGTGTCTTATCTTCTCTGATCGCATTTCTCACTTTCTTTATGTAATTTTTATATATTGTGTTGCTTATTTCTGACCTTTTTTTGCTTCAATATTCTCATTTCTTCAGTTTCCCTTAACGTTTCTTCTGTGATGTTTTCCTGTTTCTTATATTTATTATTACTGAGTACTATTTATTACAAAAGTCGGCTCTGTCGCTAAGTCGATGCGAACGCTTCGTAATGCCGGGATGCCAGGTTCTATCCCAGCTGCGGGCCATGCGCCTTGCGTTGGTTTCGACAGTGGTATCAAGAAAGCCGACCGTCCAGTAAGCAATGGCAAACTACTGGACCTAAATTTGCCTAGAAAAAGCACGCAACAGCCAGGGGCTGTTGGGGTTGGTTCTGCAACGTCCTGTAAAGGATACTCAACTAACCTAGATTTATTACAAATGTGCCACTCGGTTTACGTCTCGCCGAGCACGTAAAGCTTGTTAACAGTATTCATAACGAAAGGAACGCCGGATGCATGCTTACGCCGCTCATGCAGAAACTGTAACGTGTTTGAGCTACCAGTTACTAACACAAACTGAGCACACATATTCTCAACAGCGAAGCGTGGAGCAGGAAAATATCACGTGATATCATCTCCAGTGTAAATCGTTAACTACTAATGCTTAATTTGGTATAAACTGCTTATATATGCGAAGTAATTGTGCCTTGCCACTGGTAACTACCGCTCATATGGTTGAACATCATTGCTGAGAGCTGACTAATTCATGTTATGGTTCCAGCGACATTCTTTGTGTCGGGAGACAGCAGTGACTACGACATGGTCAAACAGATCTACAAGCAAGGCCATGAGATCGCTTCCCACACAATGAGCCACAGGGAGCCGACCACCTGGTGGGCCTACGCTGGCTACGAAAACTGGGAGCACGAGATAGTTGGCATGAGGAACCGACTGAACGAAAAATCGGGCGTTCCGGTTAGGGAAATCACCGGCATGAGAGCCCCATTTTTACAGGTGAGATGCATTACCTTTTTAGCACCGCGGCAAATAAACTTACCTAATTATTTGATATTCTTTAGTTTAACTCTCATCGAAGCGGCTTTGTTTTTAAAAGCATTAGGTTTTTTGGGTGGGTGGTGGGGTTGGTGGGGGGGGGGGGGGGGGGGCTTAAGCCTGACACTGACCCTAGCATAAATGGTATGCCGACTAGTGGGAGGGGTGGGGTATTTTATAGCATCACACGACCAATGGCAGTGAAGTTTTACAATTCTCATTGAGAACGTTGAGGAAGATTCTTTTCTTAGCTAGTTGGTTAAGTTAGTTAATCGAAAGATTATCCTCACTGCACATTGGTCAAGCCCATGAGCGCTCGGATCCCATCTTCAGTGTATCCCTTAGCACGGGGCGACTGATAACACCAGTTCTTTGTTGGTTTACCTTCTTTGGCTACCTGTATAGCGTTCATGTTCGGCGACACCTTTTTTGACCAGAAGTTTTTGTAGTCTTCTGAGTTTTGCAGATCCAACGTCGTCTCTTCTCATCCTGCCTCATTGAGAGCATTGTCGGCCCGGTCCATTTACTTTCCTGTATCTACCGTGACCCTGCCAGCAAGTCAATAGGCTTGTTCATTCCCTCTTATCCCAGAGTGAACTGGCACAAAAATCAAGATAATTCCGCTGAGATAAGATTTCCGTTTTTAGCAATGTTCTTTGAGAAACGAATCCGTGACCTCCATAGCGCGAAGTAAACGGCTTAACCACTTGGCCACGGAAGTGCTTTGACAACCTTTTGCACCACTTTCGCTACTAACAAAGGGTATCCCACATCAGAAAGGGTCATTCTACATTCTTTGGTCATATGATGAGGAGAAACTAGACTGCATCGTGACAGTAGGAAAGTTAGAGGGGAGGAGAAATAGATGGAGACCGTGAGAAAAGACGCTGGAGAGTGTGACATCCTGACATGGAGGATCATCTGAGTCAGAGTTGATTGAGATTATACGAGACAGAAGATTGTGAATAGACAGACATGACTACCATCAGCGTATTCTGTGTTCTAAAGCTGTGTTTGTCACACCATGGTATGTTTTCTGCCCTTTGCCATTTGGAAGTACAGTGACTTTCTCCTTGAGACTAAAGAGAACCAAATATGGTGGCCTTATGAAACTCTCCAATATTTGTATTCTTCTATAGTGCGTTTAAAAATGCCTGCGGTCGTATTTTCCATAATTTCTCAGTAATTATTTATTTCGTGTACGTGATTTCTCATATTTTCATCTCGACGTTAATGTTTTTTACATTAATAATATTTACACTACTCAGGAGTTATTTTTAATCAGTTGCTTATTTATAGTTATGCAATAAACACATTTTACAGTACTGACGTCAATTGTAATTACACTAAAACTTAGAGGCGTTTCTGCAATTATTACCAGGAGGGCGTAAGTACACTAATGATTAGTGACATAAGTCACGCCCTGAAACATTGTGACGTAACTGGATAAACGATTTAGTAGGCAACACTCTTTTTTATAGCGCGAAGTGACACCTTCGTTGTAACAGTTATACTCTTATTCATAACGATTTAATGATATAACACGCCACAATGCAACGTGACCATTCTAGGGACAGTGTTTTATACTATCGATTCGGCCCCCATTTGGATGTTTTGGTTTCTTATAATTTGTCCTTGGCTTCCAGGTTAGCCAGGCCTAAACTGAGTACCACGCAATGTCATGGGAAGTAAAAAATGGCCGACCTGACGCTAACCACATCCCACACCAAGTACCGATTGATCTGTAAAAAAAAAAGGTCATTAAAAAAATTACAATTTTTTGTACTCCTCGTTTTCAGGTTGGCGGAGATGCACAATACGCCATGCTAAAGGAGAACAAATTTCGATACGACTCTTCCATGGTCACTGGCAGTCTGTATACTAATAAGCAGAAGCCAGTTTGGCCATTCACACTGGACACGCCCCCTGACAGCACCACATGCAGCCTGACCCCTTGCCCCACCCGCTCCTATCCAGGATTGTGGGAGGTGCCACTCATCAGGTGGTACGGATCTAACAGAGTGGCCTGTGCTATGCCAGATGCATGTACCATTGGTAAGTTAGACAAATATGTTGTATTAAAGAATCGTGATTTAGACCAAGCCTAGACACTAGTTGACAATGACAACGATTGCTTCCTTCTTTCGGTTTTTTTCCCACGCTGCTGCCTGAAAGTTTGATTACAAAATTACAATCTAGATGAAAGATCAGCAGGGTATATCCAAGATACCCAGTTCAACCTCTAGAGAAATTATAACTGGGTTCGCCTAACGGCTACAATAGCCTAGTGTAAACGGCCATCTCGTGTGTGTGTAAGGATATGATTTAATGTGACGATAACTTAGCACAGACCAGCGGTTCCCAACCGGTGCTCGCCGCTGGCACTACCCATGGGCTCTGGGATCACTCCATAAACAAATTTAAACACACGCGCTCGCGCGTGCAAACACACACACACACGCGCACGCGCACGCACGAAAACAAACACACACAAAGGAATTAAATTAAAAATTAAGAAAGTAGAATCTGCTGCCACTAGTTCCAAAAATATTTGGAGAGTAAGCTGACCTGACACACACGTACGTGCCTTTCATGCAAATGAAATGTTGGAGTGATTTCTTGGAACTTCCCATTCAAGTAGTTTCTCGCCCTTTCTAACACTTCGAGAATTCATGAGCTCACCCCGCTTCAAAATACACAAATAGAGGCTAACTAGTGTGGAGTCATTTCACAGCAAATTTAGCATCCTTTGGATATTTTCTCCAGGTGACGCCGGTGTGTTGGGAAATGAGCAGGCGGATACACTGGCCGGTTCTGCACCACTTGGTGGTGAACTGATATATGTCAAGCTGGATGTTGTGAGGTCCCTTTGGGAGCGAGAGAACAGTGCCGAGGAATAGATAGATCATTACGGTCTGAGGAGAATGGCACTGCGAGGAGTTACAAGAGGATCTGGCCGACGCTCAACACTCGGGGAAGGGGCGAGACGGATATACAATCAGACTGTTACTGGTACTATCGGAATTTAAACTCTTTGCTTGCTGCTGAAGATGGGGACGGAGCGCTTATGGGAGTGTCCCGAGTACTGTGGAGTCGATTCTTTAATTCAACATTTAACATTCACAGCAAATTTTCATAGCGATTAAATTGGGAATTCTTAAAGATTTTCCCGCAAGTTTTCTGCGCGTTTTAAAACCAGCCTATACCGGGGTTTTGGCCTCATTTACAAGATGGATTCAAACTCTTGTCTAAGAAAGTAAACTTATTTACAACCTTTCTCAACTACATATCTTTGTGAAGCAGAATTCTCCGCTTCTGTAGCTTTAAAATAAATAAATACAGTTTAAAAAAAAAAAGACGTTGGACAAACACAGAAGGCTCGAGTAAGGCTATAGACAAATACAAATGTGGAACACGATGCTATTGTGCTCTTTTCTGATTCAGAGTTAGTGATTCGGACATTTAACCTTCTCCGATAATTACTATGAACTTCAAGAATGTGTGTATAGTTCGAACCCCTTGGATAGCAAGAAATCGAAGAAAAAAAAAATGGTAGGCGAACAGATCTCAGTCCAGACACAACATAAATATTATGCAACATTCTAACAAGAACACCAATGTAGCATGAATCGGTTTATATCACCAGGTATCGCTGGGCTTGACGATGTCTGCAAGACTGGAATGTATTTTGTTCAACCCCACCAGCGGTGTACAGAGAGCAACAAACACCCGGTGACACAAAGTGCCACAATTCGGATGAGTATCCCCGGGTACAAGTCCAAGAAACCCCTTTCAACCGTTAGGTTATATCAGGGCCCCCCGACTAATGCCGGGGTGGGGCTTTAAAGTAACGGTAAATTACGCCCCAAATTAGGTCGATGTGTTTGTCAGAAGACTGCAATGGCTGGGGCATATAAGAATGGTAGAATGCAGAGAGGTAACAATTATGAAAACGAAGGAGTTGAATAGGAGTAGCCCGCGAGGCAGACCAAGACGATTGTTGGGAGATAATACGTAGACATATCTTTAAATACAAGGAGTCACCAACTGGAAAGAGAAGGCAAATTACAGATATCAATGGTATCGACAGCAGTTAAGTTTTATGGCTCGGAGGACTTAAAAACAAGAAGATGTATAATTTTGGTACCCATCTTGGGATTTTCGTGGATTAAGTATCTTCAGTTTTGAACTATAGGGTAAGACTAGAGAATGTGTTTGGGGGCCAATCAGTCAGTGTATCTGCATCTCTGTCTGTCCACTTGTGTATATGACTGCCTGTACTCCCAGCGATTCGCCTGTCATCATCTTCTTCTTTTGTCGTCTCACTGATGCCAGGTTGTAGCCCAGTGTTCTGGTTTTCTGTATTTGTGTTGCGCTTCTCTAGCGGCTTGGGTGATGAATTTGTTGAGATTTTTGCACATTAAAATTAACTGTCTGCTTTTAAAACAATCTATTCCACTCATTTTGCAGGTTTAGGAACAGAGGGTACGCTGAAATTTTTGCAGGACAACTTCGACAGGCACTACACTACAAACAGAGCTCCCCTTGGCGTCTTCATTCATGCTTCCTGGTTCGGAAGGAAAAACGGAAATTTCGAAGGAATGGTAGAGTTCTTAAGATCATTAGCGGACAAAGAGGATGTATGGGTCGTTACCGTGAATCAGATGCTTGACTGGGTTCAACACCCAGTTAGGTTATCGGCCCTCAACACCATACAAACTTGGGCTTGTTAAACTTAACAACGGGGAAGACTGATGATATTGTACAGGGAGAGGTTCTTATGTTGTGCCATATTTTCTAACAGTGACATTTATATTTAGTTTTAAACCAAGTAAAACAATTGGTATAATTTAAAGAAAAGGTCAAAGGACCCTTTTTTTTAACGATAGTGACGAAGCCAGCATATGATGCTAGACAGTATTTTTTGGACTAAACAGCACTCGCTGGGTGAGGTGGTTAGCAGCACAACAGCTGCATTGACTTCCCAGGACAATATTTGGTACTTAATTTTGAGCTGGGTCGACCTGATTCGTCTCGATGCGGATTCGAACCCAAGACCTATGAGTGATAGGCAAACCTCAAGCCACTACGCCGCATTGGCAAGACTACACAGTTTTAAGTTCTCGTTATATTGTAAGTCTGATTCACTAGCGATCGGTTTATATGGGTCTAGAAAAAAGCAATCAATCTGGATGGGAAAACAATCAGTCCACTTGCACCTATCAAAGTAATATTAGAGCAAAGAATTGTCCCAAACAACTACAGTGGTACCTCGGAATTCGAACACAATCCGTTCCGTGACGACTTTCGAATTCAAAATCCTTGAGTTCAAAGATGCCCCCCACCCCTTTTTTTCCAATTTGTTATATTGGAAGGAAACTAAATTAATTGATACTAGGGTCCAACAAACCCACATTTTAAAATGTATTTTCCTAAACACAATGCTCTGTAAATGTAGTAACACATGGTGATCATATATTCAACCTATGCACACATATTTGCATACAAACAGAAACAAACAGTGTACAACATTTTTTGTACCTTGATAACAATTGTGTCGCAGCACATAGAAGTACAAGGAAGAATATTGTTTAGAAAATGAGTCACTTTCCATGATAAAATCATGAATCCTTTTTTTGGTATTTTAATATCGTAGTCGTTCATTACTTGTAAAAAAGTTTGCCGTCACTAGTTTTTGTTGATAGCCAGCGTTCCAATCTGCTCTGGTGTTGGCGACCATTTCTAATTTGTCTACACAGTTCCATAATTGTATCATTTAGTAAGTTAACATTAACATTAACCCAATAATAACTGTCATTGACGAGCCAGTCTAGTATCGCTCAGCCGGTCCGATCTGACACGCATGTGTGTTTAGACTAAGTGCAGTCAAACAACGGCAGACAGGGCGTCTGACCACACAGAGCCGACCACACAGCGACAGCCAAATAGAAGGAAAATATTGAGTCAGTTGGCCTTTTCATACCCAGTGGCCAGACTTTTCCCTATTTTACTGTCTAAAACTAAAAGCTGTTTCTGTGGCCTCTTGGTAATTTTTAAGCCAGACGTAATCAAGATCTTTAAGTTGCTGAACAGTAGTCTTTGTAGTTTTCCAACCTATCACATGTCGGCCCATTTTTGTTGTTGGCGTCCCGGCAAATACACAATTGTTAACAATTATTGTCTACAAATCCTCCCCCAACTTCTGCACTACATCCCACAGAGTTACTGGCCATAGCCACTAAGAATAAAATCCTCCTCCTAACATCATGTAATCACTAGTTACTTGCAGTATCATTTATTAACATTCACCCAATAATAACTGTCCTTGACATATGAGCAAAGCATAACTCGTCCTAAGGAAACTGGATAAGGAACGTAAAAGTCCCAAATAAGAAATTGCATCAAAGATGGCAGTAGTCATGAAACATCCAGTAAACATTTGCGTTTGAGTTTCAGCTACCATCTGTAAAATCACTACAAACCCTCCATCTACATAAATGATGGCGATATAATCGGAACACGTTAGCGTGTGCACTGGTGTCCGAGACACCATCAGAGTAGAAAAAAAACCCCATATAATCCGCTCCTTGATAGAAAAATGCATTTAAAAACATATCAAATCATCACTGACACACAACAAACAAAACCTTTAAAAAAAAAAAAAAAAAAAAAAAAAAAAAAAAAAAAAAAACATGCAACTTAAAAAAAAAAAAAACAACATAGTAATCAACTAACATCAGGATTCTTGATCAGTTGGATTTCCTCTCAGACGTCCAGTGATCCAGTGATTCTTCACAGATAAGTTCTCTCAGCTGTTTATTACCTCAGCCGCGAGACTTACATTAGACTGCTTCCACCACCCTTTGCCACCACCGCATTACATTAAGAAGACGTTTGCCTCAGCCACCACCGCGTGGCATTTGAAGGACTTTCCACAACTTTTACCTCAGCTTCGGGAAAGCCTACATACTGACATTTTCGGTCACTATCTCGGCTCTGGGTGAGCCTACAATGGACATCGGACATTACTTCGGCTTCGGGGAAAGACAACTGGAACTATGATTACAACACTGAACATCTGTTTATTTCACTTAATATAGAATCAGCGTGGTCCACAATAACAACATTAACAACAACCAACGTGCTCGACCATAATCTGAAGTGCTAATCATCTCTAACAAAAAGATATGATAATAACGCCATACACTCAGCGAGATTACCTTAACAATGGCAAAAACCGAAACATATTTAACATGTAAGTTAAGCTTCAGTATGCCACCAGACCAACAAATCAGTTATAGCGACCTGCCATCAAACTATCTTCTAGCAAAGATGCACAATGGAAATCAATTCTAACACTGCCTAACAAATGAAACGTACTATGATTGCGATCACGAGCCAGTCTGGCGTCGCTCAGCCGGTCCGATCTGACACACCTGTGCGTTTAGACTTAGTGCAGTCAAACAACGGCAGACAGGGCGTCTGACCATACAGAGCCGACCACACAGCGACAGCCAAATAGAAGGCAACTACTGAGTCAGTTGGCCTTTTTATACGCAGTGGCCAGACTTTTCCCATTTTACTGTCTAAAACTAAAAGCTGTTCCTGTGGCTTCTTGGTCATTTTTAAGCCAGACTAAATCAAGATCCTCAAGCTGCTGAACACATCAAGCAGCCTATCACATTATCCCCAAACCTTTTCTCTCCATATAGTAAAATAATTTTGAGGGAAATTAAACAGAAAGCAGGAGTAAGAGTTGGAGGATACAATATAAACAATTTTCGTTATGCAGACGATACAGTTTTGATAGCTGAAAATGCAACTGATTTACAACAACTGCTTGATATTGTGGGGATGGAGAGTGCTAAGAAAGGACTTTCATTGAATATGATGAAAAAGGAAGTAATGGTTATATCAAAGAAGAAGAAAATTCCACGTTGCGATGTCTCAGTTGAGGGAAAAAGACTTAACGAAGTCAATAAATTTAAATATCTGGAAACAATCACATTATCAGATGGAAAATGTGTGACAGAGATTACAAGCAAAATAGATCAAGCAAAATCGGCATTTCAGAAAAGGAAAAATATCTTATGCAATAAATCGCTCTCATTTAATGTCAGCGAGAGGGTGCTAAAATATTAAATAGAACCTGTTCTGCTGTATGGCAGCGAATCTTATAATGTCACTGAACAAATTAAAAAGAATTTGGAAGCAGCAGAGATGTGGTTTCTGAGACGAATGTTACGAAGGCCAGAGTAACTAACAACGATTGCTTGAAAGAGGCTAATGAAAGTAGATCTTTATATACAACAATAAGAAAGAGACAAAAACTGTTCTTTGGCCACATAATAAGAAGAGAGACATTGGAGAACATCGTTACAAGTGGAAAGATCAGTGGAAAAAAGGGGTAAAGGCAGACCAAGAGAGATGATGCTGGATGGGCTAAAACAATGGCATGAAGGGATATCATCAAGAGAGCTGTTCCAAACAACCAGGGATCGTAATCTGTGGAGACGCATGAGCGCCCTCGCAAGTTGGCAGGGCACATAATGATGATGAGGAAGTTAACATACCTGCCAACTAGGGTTCTATCAGGGTACCATCGTTCAACAACTTCTTGCGTTTTCGACCACATGGTCAAAAGAAACTATATTTCAGAGATGCTAATCCTTTCAGCTTTTTCCACTTCCTCTCCGGAAGATATTTCTTCTGCTGTTTCTTTCTTCTGCTGCTGAAGCTCTTGCCTTGTCAGCTCAGCTGCGTGATCGATCCCAAGTTTTCCGAGGTTCTGCTGTACCAAAGTGTCATTTTCACAGAATTTGTGGACCTTTTCTTCCGAAAAGTGTCGGCTTTAGAAGTTCCTTTTAATATTTTCGTTTTGTTGTAAGACCTCAGCTGATTGTAGGACAATACGACAGCCTATTTAACATTTGCGTTGTGTTTGAGACCATATTTGTGAGCATAGCTCATGATGCGCATACGAAAAAGCAACACAATTTGGGGTGAACACTGTTCACTCCTTACGAAACTGAAACCCCATAAAAAGATAATGGTACACCAAAACATTCAGTTCATTTTCCCACAGTCAAGAATGGCGCCTCTATCGATAAATTTAAGAAATCTTGCTATTGGCCGATTGCAGGCAGCAGAAAGTCAAAGTCAGGTTGCTAGGCATGTAAACGTGCATCTGAGTACTAGCTGTCTACTTTAGCACCGGTTCCAAGCCACTGGCTCAGTTGAAGACAGACATCACAGTGAAAGATAACAGCAGCAGGGAATCGCTTTATGTGGTTCCGTCACCTCAGAGACAAGTTTACAACAGCTTCCGCAACTGCACACGCATTGTCTCCAGGACGCCATGTGTCTGATCAAACTATTCTGAGGAGACTGCACGACGTCAGGTTTGGGCACGACGACTACAACGAGGACATTCCTTACATGTCTGGTTTAGTGACGATTTCTTTTGTTGTTTTTGTTGCAGCGTCATGATAGACTGCTTAAGGTCTATCGAAGGTGAAATGAAGGTTTAGCACAAAATTGTGTTGATGAAGCTCTGCTGCACTGTGATGGCGGTGTAATGATGTGGGGAATGATCAGTTACAACAGAAGGAGTCAAATTGGTTCACACTGAAGGAAGCTTGAATGCGCAACGATACGTCAGTGAAATTCTTCGACCACATGTCTTTCAATTTTGGGATGCCAGCAGATATTTTTTTTTTGTCAATGGGACAAC